TACGTTCAAGTCTTTTCTGTATTGAAAAAGTGTGCTTCCACCAAGTCGCACAGACTCAGAAAAATCTTCACAAACAGCGTAAGGGGTATCTTTTAGCTTGAAACCAGAGGACAAAATGTTTTCTTTATTTTTAAATCGGGCAAACTTGACAATGATTGGTCTAGTTTTCTTGGAATTAATCTTTCCAAGCTGGTGCAATCTTTCAAAATTTGAGGGGTCAAGTGCAATGCCCAAGTTCTGCGTGCAAAACTGGACGATTCTATCTTCCAATATCCCCCAGATTTCGGCTTGGTTATCAGGGCCACCCAAAAACAACAGATTTGAACTTCTAAGTCGATTTTCATTGTTCTCACACTGTTTCTGGATATTCACCAGCTTGACAGACATGCCTTGAAAAGGCTGAAGCGTAGTTTCAGATGCAGTGCTGGTCGCAGCCAACCTAGCTTCCATCCAAGAAAACAGTTGTTGAACTATCGGTAGCTTTTTGCCCTCTCTCTAGAGACACAAGCTTCGCCAACATGTCTGTCTGCGTAGCCTCGATCCTTTGCACAGCAGCTAGAATACTTGCTATGTGGGCGCTGTCAGTATGGGGTCCTGGGTTATTACGTGGGCAATGGCGGTATCAGGGCCCAGATTCATTTCGACATCTCTTGACATTAATAAAAGAAGCTGAGAGACCGAAAAAACGTATGAGTACTGGAAACAGTAATAACAAATCACTTTCCACCAAGAGCACACATCTTCGTTGGAGCACAACACCAAAAACAGACAAAGGTCATTGCTGCGATAACATTCCGTGCATTTGAGGTAACCAACCTGAATGAACAAGCGAATTTGTGTCATGGCTTTTGCAGCGGTGTCGTGCCCCGACTGGCCAGACTGTTGGAGCTGCTTAAGTAGACGCTCTTCCATCGATGTCCCTAGTTGCCAGCCAAGGTTGGTGAAAGTGCCCAGACGTAGCACGACGGGTGGAATTGGCCAAGATGTGCAATCCTGCTTCGCAGACAGAAAAACAGCGTCGTCACCGGGACCATGGGCACCGGGTGCGTAATCCATGGATGGTTTCAGTGAGATCATTGAAGAAAGGAGCAGCACCTGAATAAACAAGCGAATTTGCGTCATGGCTTCCGCAACGGTGTCGTGCCCCCTTCGTTCAACTTCCTTCATGACGTATTTCATCAACACGAACAGCTGCTGGCCAGTACAGTCCTTGGTAAAGAAGTACCCCACAGGTATTTGAATGCACACTGAAAGTCCAGTCAGAACGAAGCACAGGAGCGAGTTGGCCAGTACTGGTTTATCGTTCGTAGCTTGAAGCTCCTTTCCCATGTCGACCTCTCCCACGAAAGAGCCTCTCTGCTCGTACTGCAGTCGTTACTGTATTCTCATTACAAAACCAACTACGGAGCACATTTTGGCATGCTCAGTCTTCAGGTCCTCCGTCTTCAGTCTCTCTTGGACTAGCGACGTAAACCCCACTTCGCCGGAAGTCACCCCTAAGAACCTTTGCAAGGTAGATCGGTAAATGGTGGCTTGAGAATGCCTTCACTCCAGATGTGCTGGTAGGCTCGTGCTGACTGGCTCCTTAACAAAATGGAGTGGCGGATGGTAATCTCTGGCCAAGTCGGCCTGATCCTAGAAAAGTTCACCACCTGGTTCATAAGAAAGCTAGTGCCCAGGTGCTTCTCGTTTGCTGATTCTACAGTCAAACCTGTTTATAACAAACACCAGGAAACCCTATGATCAGTTCGAAAGAGCAAAAACCTTTTACAACGAACTTCCATGATGCGTTTGCTGTAAGACGAGCGAGCCTTCTCTTTCTTTCTCATCTCTTCACCTCCGCCTTGTAACACCACGCTGTAAAGTTTTTTGTGTTTTTCTTTTTTTTTTTTGCATGTGTGCAGGGTTTGTTTTTTAGCTTATCTCCCCTTCTGAATCGCTTCTCTTCGTGAATAAGTGCTCTGGGAAGAAACTTTTTTTTTTTTTCTTCTATGCGTGCGTGCAGCTTTCTCCCCTTCTGAATCGCTTCTCTTTGCTGAATTTTGTTCGCAACTGGAGCTCTCGGAATTTTCTTTCTTTCCTGCTTCTTTTTGGGGGGAAGGAACCGACTAGAAGAGGATCGTCTGTGCATTTTTGGAAGTCTCCCCAGGGGTAAAAGGTTTGATATAGCCAATATGTTGTTCGTTATAATAATTACTTTTTACATGCGGTTTTATTTAAATTTTCCAAGAGTTTGATATTGACAATATTTAGCTGTACAAGGGTTCGTTTTAAACGGGTTTCACTGTATTACCTTTCCAAAGGCACACAGATGGCCGTTCTCTTTCAGGTGCTTGAGCTCTTCCTCGTATTTATCTACAGTCTGTTTTAGTCGATCAACCTGTCTTCAAGTCCCGCTCTCTTCGTTGCCACTTCAGGCGTTCCACGACCGATGCGCCGTTGTGCATCCACCTGGGTACCTTTATCTTTTGTCGGCACTTCTGCGGCAGATGGTTCGACTTGATCACGGGAGTCGCCACTTGGAACATGTGTGCATATTTCGAAGCTGTCGTTACCTCCATGAAGAAGGCTCTTTGAAGTGTGTTGCTTGGAAGTAGACGGGGCAGCCAGGGAAGAGCAAAGAACGGCAGCTTTCCATTTGCTCACAGCAGAGTCGCTCCGAGGTATCTTGGCACTTGGCTGCAGGTACTCCGGATACTCTTCCAAAACTCTCCGGAGTTTCCCTGTCTATCCTTTTAGGCGAGCAAATGTCAACTACAAACGACCCAATAACGCACCCTTCCTGGCGATGACTTTCAACGTTTCTCCCAGTTGACTGCCACTAGGAATCTCGCCAGACGAAATACCTGGTTGCGTTTTGAGTCCGCCTTGCATTTTGGCACACAACAGTACGCCATGGCAAAACCAAAACACTTCCAAAAGTACCGGTGCAAGAAGCGAGGCAAAATTCACACTGGGCGCATTGCCTGCCTCGTTATGCGATCCTCGCCCGTGGCCCTGCCCTGCCACCTGGCCATCCGGGGCTGGTGGCACCGCCTCGTGGAGAAGCATGGCAAACGCAAACGTTTGCCATGCTTTTTACCAAGCATCCCAGATAGAGGAGGCTATGGTCTAAACCATAAAAAATGACACGTGACCACGCAGAAGAGAGTTCTCAAATCGGCCACTTTTCCATCGGCGATTTTCGAGCAGCAAATTCTGTTGTGGGTAGTTGGGCTCTCCTATGTCATGTACAAATAAAAACCTTGACGAGCACAAATACCCTGTCAGTGTCCCTTTAAAGCGCTGGCGTGCCCCAGCAGGCTTTTGTTTCAGTTTCCAGCAAGCTGGCTCTGGTCATCTGCAGAGAAGTAGGTACAGCTCTGGTGATATATTATTTTTATTTTTTATATTTTTTTACATTGTTTTGGTAAACGAGATTTTAGCCTGCAAGATGATGCAAATCAGTAAATTTGCTTTCTACAGGAACTGCCTGGGTCAGCAGGACACACATACAGCTTCTCATGTCATCGCTGGAAAACCTAATTTAAAGGGGCACTGACACCCCAAAGGTCGTGTTTTTTTTTTATTGTCTAAAACGATGCAAGTTGTAGTCATAGACACGCAAAAAAAATGCATCGCAAAAAAAGCATTTTGCGCGCGCGTGCGCCTTTTTGATTCTGGCGTTTTTCTCCTTCGCTCCTCACCTCCTTGCTTCTTTTGATCGGTGACGTCAAAAATCATGAAATTTAGAAGCTTTGTAGGTCACATTTCTATAACGTTTATTATTGGAAATTGTAAAACATGTTTTGTAACGGAATTGTGAATGCACTACGGCCCTTCTTTTTGAAATAGGAACATCAGAGTCCGTTGTGATGTCGCCTCCTGAATTTTTATCCTCCCTCGGAAAACTTGGCGTGCTCAAGCAGAGGATGATCGGTGAGTCGGGGAACCGGACGAAGAAACCGGTTTTTCACGGTCCGCCGGTGCCCTCCTCTCCCGCTCCTCACCTCCTCACTTCGGGTCGCGGTGGCAACGGCGCTTTCCTTTGTAGCATGGAGCGGAGGTGCAAAAGAAAGTCGACTCGCAGGAGACCGCGAAATTTGACGTCACTGCACTGGTGCGGATCGCGCAGGAACATCAAAATCGGTATTTGGAAATTGTTTTTTTTAAATTCAGAAATACTGAATTCCCAAGTTTCGAATTTTGAGGGTAATGTCCTGGCATCGTTTTCAATCGTTTTAAATAATAAAAAAAAAAGATATATTTTTATGTGTCAATGTTCCTTTAACCTCAATTACACATTTCAGCTTGCTCGTTATAAATGTCGGCAAACTCGTACTTGCTTATAAATATTGGCAAGCGATCTCTAGGACACCGGGACGGGCTGGCAATCGAAAATCTGCAATAGAGGTGGGCTGCGTGAGAGCAGCTCTAAGCCAAGTTTTTCACCCTGCGCCTATGACTATGCTCAGCCGAGCAATTTATGAAAGGACCAACATCAAGGTCAGAATTCAAAGTTTTGTGTTCTCCCGGTTCATATTTCGATGTTTCACGCCATGTCTCGTCAAACTTTTTTCTCTGTTTCGTCTTTCGCATTTCTTAATTTAATGCTCATGGCCACCTATTTCTTCAGTTTCTCCCAGCGAATGGAACGGCTCGAGGACAGCCCTGCACACCAAAAATCTAGGAGGTCATGGAATCATCTGCAAACTGGCCACATAGATTGCCCAAAACAACTTTCTCTTTCTTTTGAACGAGGCAAGTCTATTTTTTCTATTTAAACCCTTACCACATGCTTGCACCTGCGTAATAAATTGCAGCGCCATACGTTGAGGAACCGATTTTGGTGGGCTGTCTAAAGTGCCCTAAAAGTGTTAGTTTACATGCTGTAGAGCAGGCAGTATTTTACAGTAAATTAACCAGTAACATACAATCTTTTTTTTCTTAACACAAAACCCTTGTATATTGTGGTCAATTCAGCGTGGATCCCAGTGGGAGTTTCTAGGATCTAAGCTCACCAGTGAACGCTTGCACTCAAACAAGAGGTTCTTCAAGTTGTGGCATTCCTGAGGCACAGAGGGGTGACTTGTCAGGATGCATTTTTTGGGTGACAGGCCATCCTGTCAAAAAACACAGTATTCTATTAAATTTGGAACAAACCTTTTCCTTAAAAATTATCCTTTTTTTTTTTTTATGTAATGATATGGTGCAGGCACGTGCTCTTCACCCAAGTCTTAAGCATGGAACACATGGGTGGTGAAACTGGGTGCCGCAACACAGGTGCACCGTGCTCAGAGCCATATATAGGGGAAGAGTCTGGACATATGTTGTCCTCGGTGACCTCTCACCGTGCCTTCGCTCCTCCCAGACTCCTTCCATAAAACTGCTTTCAGGCCTAGCAACGGGAAACGCGAGGGGCCTGTCCACCATTACCGATCCCAGGTCAAAGCACGCGCATGCTAGGCCGCATGGCATCCTGCGTACAGACCCTTATTTTTATGTTTTCTGATGACAAAATGGTTGTTTCTTGTGTGGTAGGATGTTGTGACGTCCAACCACACGAGACGTCCAACCACACAGCCGTCAGGGTTTTTGTTTTTTCCTTCTAACGATTCTAAGAGAAAAGAAAAGAAAAATGTCACAAAATATGGTTGAATAAAATCAAGCGCGACAATCGTGGACGTCCATGGAAGGCTCCTGTCTTTGTGAGGTAAGAATGCTTGTATCATTTTAAAACTTTTTATAAGATGGTGTTCTATAAAACTCCATTTTTATAAAACTAGCAAATTAGTTGCTACACAAAGCTCGCATGTAATGTGTAATGTGAATAACTGCAGCACAAGACAGGGACGTCCCATCTGTAAAGCGTATTCCCCTGCCTTCTTCTCCAAGCTGCAAAGTGAATGAATTTATATTTGATGCCTTCTCATAAATGCTATTTTTGTATAAAAAAAAGCTAGTTTTGCTGCCTTTCTATCTTCCATTTATTTTTATGTAATGACATGACGATGGATGCTGGGATCTCAGCGCCGTTAGGAATGGCCAATCAATTGAGTTAAATATTTAAACCAGCAAGCTTACCATCCGCAAAAAGCAGCCGACACCGAGTCGCTCCATGTTTATTTCATAGCCTTCCATTACGAAATAAACGGCTCTAACGTTACGACAAACGTTAGTGCCTGCGCTGTTTTTAAGCCAGCAAACTTGCACAACCTTGAATTTTTTTTTTTTTTTCTTTGTAACCTTCCAGCTTTCTAGATGTCCGAAGAACAAGATCGCTGTTTCATTGTAGAGAGAGTTCGGTGCAGGCACACGGTAAGCATGCATGGCATGGCCATCCCATACTAAAAGTAGCGTTCGCTTCGATCAAGCAATCTCGTTCGTGGTGCGTATTCAAGAGGAAATGCAATTAGGAAGTAACAAAACTCTGGGAAACCCCCGGAAGAATGGCTTTAGCTGGCTTTACAATCCAATAGATAATTTTCTTCAAAAACACGAGCACCGAAGGCATTCTCGTACACGCTCGCTTATCAGAACACTCTATAGAAAACCCCTCAGCTGCAAATTAGAAGTCGTTATCGTTGCGCACTGCTAGAATAACAAGAGGCATCAACTACAACTGAAAATTGCGAAATTTATGCGAGAGCAAGTTGCGCAATGCACCGTACGTCCGCGAAGCGTATGAACGGGCTGGTCACTCGGCACATACTGAGGAAGAATAGACAAAGTAACCAGGAACTAACTTATTATGGTCCCTGAATAAGCACGACACAGTCCAAAAACTGCTAGCGGATGACTTGAAACACAATAAAACAATCATACATTGGAGGAAACCAAGAGCCAAGCATACGGGCATAGGTCACCCAGTGCCAGTTAAGCTTGAAGATGGCGAAATGGGCACGGCAAATCAAATCAAATTTGGGGGTTTTACTGCCCAACCAACGAATGGCATCTGGCACGCCCAACCGGAGGACTGCGGACTAACTTCGACCACCTGGGGATCTTTTGATGTGCAACCGAAAGCTCGGTTACATGGGGCCCTTCTCCGCATTAAAACTCCGTCAGACTACGGGCACCGCGACCGGAATTCAAACAAAATGGGCGTGGCCATGGCGTTCGCGTGGCCTGTCGATGACGTAGTTGTTGAGCTGTCGAGGCCACACCAGCTGGCCAAACTCTCCCCTATATATGGCTCAGACCGCGCGGCTTTATTTATAAAGCAGGGAACACATGAGCAATGAAAACAAGCGCTGTGCGGCACTATCGTAGCAACTGGTACTGGCATCCCTACGTCAATTCCGCGAGTCGCTCGGATCTGGTTGATACAAATAATGACATGTGATGCACCTGTGGTGCACCTAATGGCGAGCAGCAAGTGCCGTGCGCCGCCCAGTTTCACTGCTCATGTGTTCCATGCTTAAACTGCATGTAAGCGACCTGCAGAGCAACGAGACAAGTGGCGACGCTGGCGTCCACCGAGACTCCACCGAGACCGAGAAAGAGTGGCGCTGTTGTGGACAACAGCGCCACTCTTTATCATTTGTCTGTACTGTGGTCACCTTGAGGTTTTACAAAGCATGTTTTTGCATAAAAACAAATGGAAAAGACTCTTTTTGTATGAAATTTGTTGGAGTTTAGTACAAAATGATGGGCACGTGATGTTTTTAAAATCTTTAGTTTGCAGGGTTTGCGGCACAATTAATATTGTTTTTATACAACCATGCCTCAGCGGTGCTTTAAATAGCGCGTCCCGACCTAGGTGCATTTTAACTTCGGTAGCAAGTCCCGGCGCGTCCGCTGGGGAGACAGGGGTGGCACCTCTGTAACCTCATCCACTGTATCTGTTTCGGCGCCAAAATGGCCGATTAAAGCCAAAATAGAAGTAACGTGCAGTTCCTCGAGTGGCCGCTGCGGGAGAAATGGCGGCGTTGTGTTCGCCCTTAGCTCGGTTCTCGAGGACAGATCGGTGCCACTTTTTCAGAGCAGTCTCTATGGCAGTTTCCCAACTGAGTGTTTTAGTAACGTTGCTCTAGCGTACATTATAGAACTCTATGGCTTGGGCTAGTTGGTTGATGAGCACCTTGTATGAAAACAGCGCGACAAGACAAGGACAAAGTCAAGACGAGACAGATGACAGCGCTGTCTCGTCTTTACTTCGTGCTTGTCTTGTCGTGCTGTTCCAAACCAAGTTGCAAGTAGCCTCAAGTGGAGCACGAGGCCGGTGTCTCGTGCCGCCCTTGGAAGCAAGTGGCAGCCCAGCACTGAAATGAGCGGCCCTTGGAAGCGAATGGCAGCGGAGCACCCGCTCAGGGCACGCGTCTTGCCCGTTGCCACAGCAATGGTTGGCGGTACTTGTAAAAACGCTTTCATCAAAGGACTTCAACCTGGCCCACCCTTCACGCCGCTTTGCGGCGAAAGTCTGCGGCAGCTCATTAGAAAAATGTTAATTCACTTGGCCCACCCGTACACACCGCGGCCTTGCCCCTCGCCCACGGCAGCGACCAAACTTCAATGTCAAGTGATTGCTGCCAGCCAGGGATGGGCAGTATTTTAAATACAAGTATTTAAAATACGTATTTCAAATACTTTGTGTATTTTGCATTTGTATTCAATTACAAATCAGGTAATGCATTTGACGTGCGTATTTAAATACTAAAACGTGGGTATTTCAAATACAATTGTAATTAAATACAATTTTGTGGGCGAAAATACATCCCTCAAATTTATTGTCACTGTCCAGAGCAGGAAGAAAACTATGTTCTGCACCAAATGCAGTGTCTCTCAATCAAGCACAAGCGTTTACTGATTTGTGATTACGGTGCTAGTCCAGGGCAAGAATAGTGATGAAATCGACGTTCACAGGCAGACTGGCTAAATAAGTGCCTGTGACAACTTGTGATGCTTTCCAGCCTGATTGCCATCCATATATTTGCCTGGAACATTCTAAATGCGCGGGTCGTCCAGATTTTCGTAACTGGTGCGAGTTGCAACGATAAAACATTCTCTAGCTAGTGCGGCGCGTCTTGGTCGTCTCGGTTCTTTGCTGGTCTATACCAAAACGTAATCGACAAAAAAAGCTGCTTGAAGCTCTGTACTTTTTTCACCTATTACGTCCAAGCTGATTACATTTTTTGTGATTATATTTCTATTACGTTACTAGGGCCTCGCACACTAACTCTCGAATGTGTGATGCAAAATTAAAATGAGATACCCAGAAACCCGTTGCAGGCGCCCTGAAGTCGCTGACGCAAATTTTGAGGAATGTATTTGGAAAAGTATTTGGAGGAGACCAAATACATTTGGTTGCATTTGTATCTTGTACTTAAATGCTTTTTTGGCAATGTAATTAGATTTGTAATTAAATACATTTTTGACGAAGTATTTTGTGTTTGTATTTCGATACGTATTTGCATGTATTTTGCCCATCCCTGCTGCCAGCTAATGATAGGGCACTGGCGGCAATATTTCTCCCGAGCTGCTGCGCCGGCTGCCTATTTATCATTCGAAGCAACTTACGAGCTTCACGCAGTCAGTGGCCAACAGGCAACGCTTGAGGTCGTCCCTGACGCCCTCGCACGAGCTGTGCACCCGAAAAGCGCTGTTTTCTTCCGTGTACAGGGGCATTTCGTTGCAATTTAAAGCTCAGACTCCGACGCCGTCAACAACTGCGCCTGATCTCTATTATAGTATTCTGGATTGGCTGGATAACGGATCGAGGCTTGGCTTGTCTTAAAACCTACCCGAGCGTTGGGAAGCAGGAGGGGGAAAGAGAGGACCTAATCGTGCACCAGGCACTAGAGATCATATACTAACTCTAGAGGAAAAGGTCCGCCATTTTCCCATACATTCTGGCTGCCGCAAGCGGCGGACCATGCAGGCAGACCCTCTGGGTCCCAAACACGGTTACGTCATCAGAGCAGTTTCCTGAACTTCAACAATCCACGAACTTACCGGTGGAAAGATACTCGCGTTCTTTTCGAAGGTTTCTTTTTGCATAGCGCGCAGATGTACGGCCTCGCGTTAACGCTAAACTAAACCATATACCCGGCTTCGCTGGTGGGGCGCGGCTGGGCGCGGTTGAGGAATACGAAACTGCGCAACCACCAGATTTCCGAGATTTCGACAGAAGGGAAGTTAATGCAGCGTAATGACTTTATTGCTTTTTATAAGCGTTAGAATAGCTCATAATTTAGTTTACAACGTTAAATTATCACTGTTTATATTGCTGAGAGTTTTCACTCTTCGTGTTTACCATGGCAACGTTGCTTTCTTTCTCTCGTGTTCTGTCGCTCGCTTTTGCGCTCGTTCACTCGGGACCCAGGATGTCGGCGCACGGGATTTGCCACTCCTCCTCACCCACCTTTACCCCCCTGGGTGCTACACTGCGCGCGTTGCACTCTGGGAACTAGTTGGCCAGGGAAGAGAGTGGCATGGTTTTTGTTTCGATCAACATGCCTACAAGAGAGCGTATCTCATGTTTTCTGGTCCCGAGAACGTCATTTTTGGTCTCTAAATTAACCTAACTGGCCAGACCTCGAAGCTTTAGCACCCGAGGCGTATAGCTTGTTTTAACACATGATTGTTGTATTTTTGTACTCGAGCCTTTCTGTTAGCGTTTCGAGGTATGTGAATGAGCCAGTGCTGGAAACCTCGACGCTGCGCAGCTCGGGCATAGCTCGAGGATCTTGCTTTTGTACGAGTCAACAAGCTGTAACAGCCAATAAGTATGCATACATCGAGCTCGCACCTTTACATTAGTGCTGCTGGTCAGAAGTTTGTTTGTTTTGTGCGCCCATAAATATAACTTTTTGCAATTACTCTTTTTATTAATACGCCTGAGTATGCAAGGTAAAACTCGGAGGCGCCTTTGAAAAGCACAAATCGAACACACTTCTCATCTCTTATTAATTATCTGCACTGACCCGCAGCACTTCACGAAGCGAAGTCCCAACGATCGAGGTAGCAAAGTCCCCGCTCATTTGCATTCCACAATAACTCTATGCATTCCACTAATATTCAACATCGCGTATGCGTATAAGGTTATCCTGCAATCATATAGGCACATTCGCACATACAAACCGTTAAGCAAAGGTCGAGCACTTGTGTGAAGATGTCGCTGCCAGTGGTCATATACTATTTGTTACGTGTTTGGTTTCTTCCTGACTGAGTATGCCGAGATAATTTTAGAGACGCCGTTGTAAAAGCTGTAAAAGCTCGTTCAAACAGGCCTAGAGAGGGGTAGGGGACGCTTAATTGTTAGGGCAGTTAGGGGTTGCTCCGTCGTAGCTAACCGATATCAGCGTTTGCGAAAACTTAGTCGCCTATCAGCATAAAATTTGAGTGGAATATATATGATGACACGCAAAAAGACATCATAGTAACTTTTGTGCAGTGGTGAGGTCGAATTTATTGCGTTTCCTTAAAGGGACACTGACAGGGTATTTATGCTCGCCGAGGCTTTTAGTTGTACGTGACATATGAGAGCTCAACTACCCAGAACAGAATTTGCGGCTCGAAATTCGGTTTCTTTCCGCCCGAAAACCGCCGATCAAGAACTGGCCGGTTCGAGTCTCGCTCACTCTCTTTTCCGCGGTCACGGGCCGTTTTCTAAGGTATCGATGCGACCACCAAATTTAATCAAAGTCGTGGGTCACTGAAGGCACACACTCGATATTAAAAATAAAAAAAAATATGAAACCCATTTTTTGTGGCTTCTAAAAAGCTGCAAATACGTTGATTGAAAAAAAAGTTCCACAGACAACCGGAAGCAATCTGTGCGTGCGTCGCTTCGCGTATCGTGGGACTCGCAGGGACGGCGATGGCAGCGGACGACGGGCGTGGGACCTCTATTTCAGAACTGTCGTTCGCGGTACCGGCGAATTTTGTCTGCCTTTAAAAGAGAAATTTGGGACTGATCAAAAGAACTGGTATTCATCCCGTACGACACGCCCGATCATCAAGCCGATTTGCACGAAGACGTCGCCGAGCCGTCGCTCCCTTCTCGTGGCTGAAGACATCGCTCGCGCAAACGTCAAGCACGACGTGTCTACTTCGAGTTGAGTATGCACGCGTACGATTTCTTTACTACATGAGAATGTCGCCAATGCGCGGTGCACCCCGACTTCGACCCGGGAGTGCTTTTGCTAAAGGAAAATTGGCAGCAAACATTCCAACTTAGTTTACCGGCTGAATTATTACTAAGGAAAGAGATTCCCCCGATTCGGTATGCCCCAGTAGCTCAGTGGGAAAGACGTCCGCTTCACACGCGGTAGGACCGGGTTCGGTCCCCCGTTTAACCTTTTTTTTTTTTTTTTTTTATATTTTTTGATGTCTACATTTCTTTTTCTTTTTAAACAATTATCACTGAAGAAACAAAAAAATAAGAAACAAATGTTGTGGACGACATGTCGCTGAATTAAATGGTACGGGATTTCCTTTTTGACACCTGCGAACTCAATGTAATCCCTTTCCACAAAATGCAAGGAGCATATAAATCAGGTAGCGTCCGCTTTCCAAGGTGCCCGTAAATGGTCTACAGGAATTGCAGCCAGCCATTGGTCCCGATCCCTTTGATCTTTCGGAAACTCTGTCGCACAATGCCACTTCTGTTTCGGACGCAGGGCATGTGAGCCAGCTCTTCACGCAACATCTTGGGTGTATTCTTTTCGGAGCCGATCAAAATTCACCACGGGCACTCACTACTCATCTCCAACTCCTCAATGTACAAAACAACTCATCTTGGAGTACAGAACAACGAGCGGAACATACATAACTGCAAAAGAATCGCTCGGTGAACAGTTCCGGTACGCCGCATGTCGTCTGCTACAAGAAAAAGAAGAAAAAAAAAAAAAAAAAAAAAAAACGCACGGTTGGGTGTAGCCACGTAACTTCCGCCACTCTCTCTCTTCTCTCCACTTCTCCGACCTCCGTCGGGTTTCGGTTTCGGTTTCGAACAGTTGCGTCTTTTGGCTTTATTAAAAAAATACGCTACTCTGTTGCAAAATATAAATTGGGTAGTCCTCCGACACCATAATGAAGCGCCTGGCAAAAAATTAAAAAAATATTTTGGGGGGTGTCAGTGTCCCTTTAAAGGACACATGCAAAGGAAAAAAAAAATTTTTTTAGACAGCTTAGATGGAAAAAGGATGTCATAAAACGATTTTACAACGAAGAAACAAAATTTTTAGAGCTATATTTACGGCGCTATACGAATTTGTAGTTGGCGCTCGCGGGAGCCGCCGCTGGTCACGTGGTAGGCCCGCGCGCCGCCGCGCTGCGTCGCCGCCGCACGCTGAGCGTTGTGCGAACGCCGCTTCAACGCGTTTCTCCACGCCGCCGTCGCCGCCGCCGCACAAGTTCGTCTGCTTCGGGGCGCCGCCGCCGTCGTCTGACCGGCGTATCACGTCTGCTTGCGCTTTTTCAGGAGTTTCCTTTGGGCTCTAAAAGTTACTTATTCGTCTTGGTTTTTTGTTATACTTCAAACAAAGATGAATAGGTTACTTCTAGAGGCCATAGGAAGCTTCCGAAAGAGCGCAAGTACCACGTGATAAATATAGACCAGTCACGTGATAAATACAGACCACTTTTCCGCGGTGACCGCGGGCGCCAACTACAAATTCGTTTTGCGCCGTAAATATAGCACTAAAATTTTTTTTCTTCGTTTTAAAATCGTTTTATGGCGTCCTTTTTCCATCTAAGCCGTTAAAAAAAAAATGTTTTTTTTCCTTTGCATGTGTCCTTTAAAAGTTCATGCGCCAACGCTGGGCTCAACTTTGCTCATTGAGATCAGTGACTTTGCTACTCCCTTGAGGATGCGGCTTGCTTTTCGCCCCATAAAGTAACAAGAGGCGGACGTTTGGCAAACAAAATATGTATAAGGCTGAAGGTGACCAAATTTCAGTTGTAGTTCACTGGTACTAGACGGGATTTTTCAAATTGAGCTAAAAGATGCACTCGTCGGGTGAGGTGACGAAGCCACGTCTTATTACGTTTGCATACTCGCGCAGAATTCCGGTGTTTCAGGAACCAAGGAAAGTGCCCAGGCCTTCGATTTGTATCGCTCGAGAATGAGTGTATTGTACATTCGTGAAAAGTCAGACAATCAAAAACGCAAGCAGCGCATTCGGTCACGGCGTGATGGCACGAAATGAAGCTGCTCAATCGAGACCGAAACTGAGTGTAACTATAAAAAACTGAGTGGTATTTCACCGCGATGGGGCGCTTCATTTCAAGATGGCCGCGCCCACGCCGCGCTCGTCCGCCCGTGTTGCTCCTAATCGTGCACGTGCTTCGAAGAAACGTCTGTTGATGAAACGATGAAACTACGCACTACGTGGTGAAATAGAGCAACACTTTTCACGTTTAAGATGGGACAGGTACGCAACTAATCAAGGCGTGTCGACCGTTCGGAAGTGAGACGCATCGATTCAGTCCCCAAGCTCGCAAAGGTCCACCCGCAGAATCTACAGCATGACATCAGAATCGAGCAACTCTTGTAACGTGTCAATTTTCGTGTGCGCGCACGAGGGTTGCGACGCAATGTTCACCAAGGGAACCCGACTCAACTGGCACATGCGTCTCCACACGAACGAGGTGAGCCAAACCAACATGATAGGCATTTTTTCATAAGAGTGGTGGGGCCGGCAAGGGCACTGTGATTTTACCAATATGCTTATCCTGGAATCCTGGCACATCCCAACTGCGCCAAGAAACATCAATAGGTCTCGGAGCATTACCATCTGTGTGTGTCAACGGGCTTCGACACGTGACGGAACAACGACCATGAAGAACGAGAGCGCACCTTAACCATCATAGAAGAAAACCAAGTATTGCTCTTTTCCACCGCAGTCACCCCTGAAGAAGTCGAACTGGCCGCAAAACGTTGGCTCCCGCATTTAGGGTTTGGTTGGTCGTCCTTTATTTTAATAATTCATTCCCCAACCAGACAGACGTGTGTTCATATGTTTCCATCCAAAACAGTTTGGATCTCAATGTGTGATCTCACGCCCGAAGAGCGGCCAAAAGCTTGTGCAAAGCTTGTGCAAAGTATCTCAAGAATTTTCAAAGATCGGGTGCTTGCACACCTCATCATCGATCAAAACTGTACGCACACTTAAAGGGTCCGAGTACAGGCACAAGGCAAGCTCATGTCAATGATCCCTGCATTTTGTCTGGATTTCCTGCCAAGCTGATGCAGCAATACCTTCCACATGTTCAGTTTGTTTCTCTCCTATCCCAGTGTTGGAATAACATTCATCATGTTCAACGCTTGTTTCATTTTACAAAGTGCTTCATCGGAGCCAATGCTTTGTGAACGTCAGATGACCTTCCAGAGGGACGCAAAGTCACCTGGCATGCTTACAACACTGGACTGGCTGGGATGGCTTGTAGCGCCCGCTGCAGCCCATTGGAAGGGGAGAACGCCCTATAGACGCTAGTTGCCGGATTCTGGACGGGGAATTTCCATGTGCCTGATTGCTGGTCAGTGTGCTTAAATTAATTTATTGAGCTACAAATGCGAAAATGTCGGGGCATATACCAGGTGACAGAAATGTTGTTGTGCGTTAGGAAAACCAGCATCTTTAAAAGTTGCGGAAAAATCAAAGAGTTTGTAAGGTATTGTGGAAGGCGAGTGTGTTTTGGATGCCTGGCCGCCAGTGCTCTAAAAGTGTGATTGTCCGCTAGAGCAGTGTTCAGAGGTGTCTGAACACCGTCGCGGTTTTAGTGTATTGCAACACGTGATCAACCTGCACCATGACTACTAGTGGGCAGTTTTAGTGTAGCGTAACCGCAGGATACCGTATGGGGAGGAATTGCGACCAAACGTTTGTACCTTTGAAGCATGATTTTCAGCACACCATTAGCATTGCCATGCTAAGTCTTTTTTAAATTTTATTTCTTAAGGCAAAAGCTTTGCATGTCTCACCGTTCAGTCGACCTTCAAAGTCCTTGAACGAAAACACGTCGGCGACACGAAAGGTACCAAAGCGTTTACGTGACCACTCAGGCAAATTAGGGGCAATGAAATTAAGAAGGATGACAAAGTGAATTAAGAGGAATTAAATATGAAACAAATAAAGAGAATGTCAAAAAGGAGAATGTGAAACAAGCTAAATTGTGTCTGTCTTTAATGCATCGGTGTCAAGTCGTCTTAAGGATAACATAAGAGACCACGTGACTTTCGCCCTCTCGAGAGAAATATTCGAATATGTGGTAAATGGCGCCTGTCCGTATCGTATGTGTGTCTTTTTTCGTTCTGTTTCTTTGCGCCTTTTAACCTTTGAATCGATATGAACCAACTGGCCCCAACCAAAGTTTTCTTATATGGTATACTCCACCTGTGGCAACCTTCCTCACCAAGACTGCCCATTCTAAGCACACCTCAAGATTGGCACAAAGACTCGCTTGAAAATGCTACGAGCATTTCGTGCCACATAGCACACAGGAAAGTAATCCAGAAATTGAAAGCACTAGATTTATATTCTAGTATTGTCAATTGGATTGAAGCATATGTATCAAATAGAACCCAAAGAGTTGAAATTATTGGAAACCTATATGTGCCATTACCTGTAGCCTTGAGGGTCCCTCAAGGCTCTGTATTGGGCCCATTGTTGTTTTTGATATACATAAGTGATATTGCTACCCCTGTTGAAGCGACAACTAAAGTAAAGCTTTTTGCAGACGATTGCCTTCTGTATGCTCCTATAAACAATACTACAGACCAATTGAAACAAATTTGGAAATCTTAAGGCAGTGGTGTGATGACTGGAAAATTCAGGTAAATTTTTGTAAGTCAGCATACATTAACATAACAAACAAAACGATTTGAATTTTTTTTTTTTTTTTATCATGGGGGATGTTAACTTGAGCAATGTGGACAGTTTCAAGTACCTTGGAGCAAAAAATAGGGACTCTAACCAAAAATTTAATAAACATTTACTCGACGTTTCGGGATTGGTTCGGTCCCTTGTTCACGGGTGAGTGACGAAAAGAAAAGAACACGTGTCGCCTAAATGCACATACGTGTCGACAATCGGTCATCGTCTCCCCCGATGACCGATTGTCAACACGTATGTGCATTTAGGCGACACGTGTTCTTTTCTTTTCGTCACTCACCCGTGAACAAAGGACCAAACCGGTCCCGAAACGTCGAGTAAATGTTTATTAAATTTTTGGTTAGAGTCCCTATTTTTTGCTTCATGTCTATTCCTAACCAGGGTGAGGGCTGCCGAACGTTTTCCTTCAAGTACCTTGGTGTCGCCGTCTTGCACAACTTACAATGGCAGACCCACATTGATAATGTTTGCTCTTTGGCATGTCGGAGTCTATGCTTCATACGACGGAAGCTAAATAACGCTACTAGAGACGCAAATTTAACTGCTTGCAAAACCATGATACGTCCTATTTTGAAGTATGCGAATATGGTATGGGGTCCTAATAAGGAGACGGACAAAGACAAATTAGAAAAAACGTTCAGCCTTTCCACTTTGTTAAAGAAGGAAGACCAGCGGAGCTGTACAATGGAAAGTAATGGCCGACCGCAAGTCGGCAAGTCAGAGTGGAAAGGCTGCCGCCATCTATGAGCGACGGCGGCAACCAGATACGTGACTTGCCGCTGTCGCTCATAGATGGCGGTAGGTGTCCAGAGTTCGGTGTCTTCATTTCTTTGCGGGGAATACGATCCTGGGGAAAGTAGCCCTTAACAGCTCCGCTGTAGAAAATTGGCTGTGAGTTTTATTCTTTTTTAGTATAGACAAACAGACTGTGGCTAGAATGCTGAATCCGTGTAGTCTCCAGTCATTGTGAAGCTGGAACAGTTTTTTTTCCCGCTATAATATCCAATAAAAAATTGACCCTGAGTTGTCTCTGAAAAAAGGGTATAAAGATCACAAAGGTTAAATCATGACAAGGTGATTCAACCATACTACGGTAGAATAGATGTTTTTAAATATTCCTTTTTCACACAAAGAATTAAAGTATGGAATGGTCTTCCACAATCTGTGGCAAACTCAACAGATATGTCTACTTTTGAGTTGTCTTTAGAACAGTTGTTTTCCTAATAAGAAAAAGCCTGGATGGATGTATATACTAATATTAATGGCATTGTTAAATTTTTGTGTGTCATGCATTAAAACTATTATAGGACTGTGTATGTTTTTTGTATCCTGTAATGGGCCTTCAAATGAAGGCTGACAGTATTGGAGAAAACTCATGTTTCTTGTTACGGCCTTTCAGCGCAGAAATCGTGACTCCATTCCCGATGTTGCATGAGCAGTTCTCTCCTACCTTCTGGAAAGAAGGAATTTTTTGTAGACCGTACGCTAGAGCTTTGCACTACTAGCGGGAGCTTTTGCCGTCATGTTGAGCACAGATTGTGCTGGCGATTGCAGGACCCGAAAACCGCAGCGTATGAGATCTAGGAAAAGTTGCTAATGAACCCTTCCCTTCATGTAACGCTAAGCGGACCAGAACGAATCCTATTTTAATGCACTCGTTCTTTCCGTGAAAACTGCATGATGCACCAACAAACCGACCAGAACAACAACACCAAGGCCTGTGATTGTTTGTTTGTCCGCGAGAGGATGAGCGCCGTGCTGGAGTTGCGAATAGCTTGTGTGTCTTTGCCGTTTGCGGGAGGATGTACCTTCATAATCGAGCATTGGTCAAAGATTCCACTTGTCACAAGCAGTCGGATGAGAAAAGACATGGTCGGTACGACACAGCTGCAATTTATTCTGGCACAAGAATATTGCTAACATTGAAATTATCTGGGAAAAGCCTAGACCAGCTAAAATAATCAAAGCCCGTGCAATTCGATGTCGTGGCAGTGGTACACAGATTGGACACGAGCATGGCCTTTGTGCCACATTGCTGGCTTGGCGCCCTCCAAGTGGGATCTACATTCTTCGCGTTCCTTCCCACACTGTTCTTGTCTGTTTTGTAGAGGCCCTTTGCGTGCACTTTCGAGGGGTGCTCCAGCAAGTACACCAGGCAGTATCACCTGACACGGCACGTCAAGGCGGTGCACACACCCAAGTCCCAGGCAGAATCTCCGCAAGATCTCAGGTGTGTAACAAAGCATTGCATGCCTCCAGTGGTGAACCTGCATTTGTCTAATGTGACATATGGCAGCTGTAGATGCAGGATAGGCAAAGGTTTTGAGCCACCAGGCAAAGTGAGGTGCTCCTCCTTGTCAGCTTGGAGAAGCCGATGCCAACTGGTGAAAGTGTTGAAGCTCGATGTAAGAGCGCTGGCGAAATGCAAGCTTGACCAGAGGCTGTGTTAAAAAGTCCTGCCAGACCCCTGTAGTACTGCTTTTGTCCTACCCCCTTTTGCTTCTCTGCTCTTGAACCTAACAAGCGTTTATCACTGTTTGAAGCTAGCCAAAGGTATCACCCGCACGACATCTCCATTTTGGCCTCAGAAATCGCCATGGCAACGGGATAGCCAGTAGCACCATCTGTCAAGTTTGCTTGACACATTAATTCGAGCATGTTGACTGAGATGCAGTGTGGTAAGGCAAATATTATTAAGCTTGGATAGAGTTTGAAGACCAAGTCTGCCACAAATGTGATGTGCCGAAAAGGGTATAGTCAGGAGGCGGGAAGAGCAGATGACACCTGAATCCCGTTAGACGTCGGCTGGGCCGCAGGACTTACTGCTTTATTGTTGCATAGTCAATCGTCATGTTACACGAGCAGGAACGGAGTGAACAAAGCTCCGGTTCATCTAGGCAGGATGACAGCGCAGTTCCCTTCCTTTTTTAGTGTACAACCCAGTTTATAAGCAGTTGCAAAGCACAAACACAGAGATGCCGTTATTAGGGACTTCTGTAATCAGTGACGCGTCAGTCTTTCAGGTGGTCGTCTGACGCGACTGCTGTGTCGAGGAGAAACGTTTCTGCACTAACTGTGGCCCGGCTGACGTCTGTTGTTTAACAACTGGGTTGTCGTGGAAACTAGCTCGGACCATCTCCACGGGAACTGACCAATGGTGGCAAGAGAGGGAAAACTCTTTGCTCAGGTGCCCCCTCGAGGAGTGTGGGAAGCAGTTCTCTTCCAAGCACACGCTCTACAAGCACGTCAACATCTCGCACAAGAAGCGGCGATTTAAGGCAAGCACATGCTCTTTGTGGGATTGTTGCTGAGTGGTGCAACTTCTCATTTTGTGCTTGCAGTGCGAGCTCTGTCCAAAAACGTATGTCAAGCACCAGCAGCTGAAAATTCACAGCTACGAGCATACCAAGGTGCTGCCTTATCCGTAAGTGTCCACAAAGAGCTTTCCATTCTTTCTGGGAGCTTTAAAGAGATGCTCAATGGACTATTTCAGGGAAAACATCTCGCCAGGTTGAGACACAATGTTTTGTCCTGACGTCTATCCAATCATTTCTTGACACAGTAGACCAATTATGGCCAAAATATATGCTGCCCAGCCAATTTTCATTGAAATTGGATCAAACTCCATTTTTTCTCAAATATGAAAAAGAAAAAAAAAAAATGGCGCTCTCTCCAGCCTAATTTTTCGAGACGTTTTTAGACATTAAAGATTATCCACGGTGTGAAATGTTATTGACTGCAGAAGGAACCAAAATAACTTGATTCGAAAATGCAAATAGAAATTATTGAAAGTTTTGTGATCCTTCACTTCAGTCACTTAACTGCCAGTACACTTTTTTTACTTGGAGCAAAAACCACATTCCGACACCTTTCAGCATGGGCAAAAAAACCTGATTGCCCTTCTAATTTTGTAAAAAGAAAAGGAAGATTTTTATTGCTCATTCATTCTAAAAGCTAAAATGCCTGCTTCAGACAGCAATTTTAGTCTCGACATTGCAACATCAGCAACCTTAAAAATTTGCATATTTTGCCATTATCATCGTTAAGATTTTCTTGTACTCCATGGACACACAGTTGCGCATTATTATGTAGACTGACGAGCGTGTTGGACACCGAAAGTTGCTAGTTGAAAGAAAGTGTGTCTCATTCTTTCGGTGCATTATTACCATCTTTTGATATCGTGAAACCATGCGGAGAATACTCGCTGGCCTCCCTGAAACCAGGGGGGACGTCCCAGATTGCCACTTCATATATCTCCAAATTGTTAGAGCTGTTGACAGCACAATTGGAGCAATCTGTGAAAATTGGCCAGCCTGAAGTGGTCCTAAGCAGTTAGTGAACTGACTGGACGCAGGTGCACGGAGCCTGGATGCGACAGGGCGTTCTTGCTGCCAAGTCGACTGAAGGCCCATCAGCGTTGTCACCAAGGTAGAGGCACTTTCACCGGTCTAAATTCAATGTCAGGTGCTTCCAATCCCATCCAGGGACAATAGATCACAGAGGGAGCTACGAACCATCCTCTAATGCCATGCGAGCTTGAATTGAAACAAAAGGAAGAACAGACTTTGAGAGTGAATCTGATTGAGTCGGCGGATCGGCTGCTTATCCACTATTTTGGAGTGAGGTCACTTCTCTTCCACTCGGAATTATCATGCATGTATATGTCTCTCCTAAGGTAAAAAGTAGTATACCCACTCCAGGAGTCGCTTATACTTGGAAGTACCTGATCGCCCCAAAAGCAACCTCGCCTAAATCTAGAGTTGTTCATGGGGCGGCAAAATACACCCCCTGTGGGAAAAAAAATGCTTCCAGTGGGAAATTCTGGGTCCCGAAGGGTATTCCCGTTGGCAACCCTTTTTAACTTTAAAAACGACACATTCCCTTCTTAATGGCAATGTTTGTTTTTCAGGCTACAAGTGCACTGTAGGCGGATGTACGCGGGTCTTTTCTAAGTGGAGCCTTCTGCGGAAACACCGTAAAGTGGACCATCAAAAGAGTAAGATGCTTTTCACCGTTATACATTTGGACCGGATTGTTGTACGCGCTACGAGTGATGACGACGGAGGTCAAGTGGTGTCCGCCATCTGCAGATGCTGCCACTTCTCCGTCGACACTCACCTTGTTAGTAACCATGTTGACTCCAAGTCTGTTTCAGAATGAGATTAACGAGATTAAAGGGCCTCCAATATAGCACTTATGCTAGCTGTTTTAGAGAAATGCACCACGCAGTGGCCCGACAGTAAAGAAGTAGAATATTTGCAATTCAGAATCTGACCCCCTTTTGTGTGTAGATCGCCAGTTGAGAGCTGGCCACTCGGGGCTTCTCCACTCACAGTCGTGTGCAATGACGTACAGTCGGACCCCGTTGTAACAAACTAGAATCGCCAGCAGAACTTTGTTTGCTATATGCAATATTCATTGTCAAAGTACACACCGAAATTGACGCGAACGTTCCCCCAATCGAGCATGTGCAAGAATGTGCGCAGCACTAAGACGTACACTGTACATCTGGCACAAGAATATTGCTAACATTGAAATTACCAAGATATCTGGGCAAAGCCAAGACATTGAAATTACCAAGATATCTGGGCAAAGCCAAGACCAGCTAGAATAATCAAAGCTCGTGTAATTTGACGTCATGGCAGTCATATACAGATTTATTTATTTTATTTAGTGGGCATTACACAGCGAAGCAGCGAAAATTCCAGAAACCTGTGGACAAACTACAAAAGAATACAAAAAAAGCACATCTATATCAAGAAAGACAGGGAGAGCACACAAATGCACGCATGAATTTCATCATTATGAAACTATGATTGATCTAACGCTGTAAGAGCTTTTTTGAATTTATCTAAGTCCCTAAGCTGTACTATGCTTTCAGGAAGGTGGTTCCAATCTTTGGCTGTTTTAATAGAAAAGGAATTGGCCTTTTGCAGAGATTGTTGTGCGCATGCGCAAATTCTGAGAGAGGGGAGGAAAGGGAACGGCGCCATGTTTGGGGGCTCTCTCCCGACGTCCCGCCAGTCCCGCTCATGTAGCCCGACCGACTGCCGCCGGCATCGTGCTGTCGCCATGCCTCACCGCTGCTCAGCCGTAGGTTGCACCAATAGCAGCAAAAACGGTTCGAATGTGAGGTTTTATAGGTTTCCAGCTGTCTCTTTGCACCCAAAAAAGCGTGCGAAATGGATCCAGGCCTTGCGGAGACAGAATCCGGACGGTACGTCTTGGGAGCCAACCGTGAACTCACGTGTTTGCGGTGCCCATTTCGTCAGAGGTAAGTGAACGTGCCGAATTCGTAGAAACTAAATGTTACTAAGACGCCGTTTCTTATGTTTTTACTGTGCAGACGAGCCTTCGCGATATCCAGATCACCCAGATTTCGCTCCGTCCGTGTTTGTTTACACGGCACCGGGTACGGCCACAAGTGCGCTCGCACGGTACAACAGGACAACGAAGCGACGGGAGGTAAGGCTCTCACTACAGGCGACTCATTATGGTACGTACGTTATCGTTGCGAAGAAACGACGAAGCACACGCGAGCCGTGGAAATAAGTATTGCTTACACGTGCGACCTCGTCCAGAAGCGCGAGCTCAGAGTATCGGTAAATGCTTTCGCTGCACGAGGGTTCGTGCAATGGTCTGGTAATGCTCGCGCTTTAGCCTTTGCTTTAGTAGAGGGGCAAGTTAAAGGCTTTCAGAAAGAACTCCTTTATAGAATCGGCGAATCGGCTCGCGATCTCGACTCTGCGCGTGCCCCTCTGCACGCACAGACTCGTCGATTCTGAAAGTCCTTTCTGAAAGTCTTTGCTTGCCCGTCTGACAGAGGTATAAGTTGAGACGGCGAGGGTAGTTTTCGAAAGCAGTTAAGGTGGGCGACTGCTCACGCACACAAGATATTCCGCAGAGCCACCATCAAAATCATGTCTGTGCCAAAAGTGAAAACAACCTGCGCGATAGAAACCTTTAAGGGGGGTTTCTTCAGTCTAGCAAGTTTGCTCTGATCTCAACAGACACGCTTGCATCTGCATTCGTCTCTCTTCACTGATTCTTAATCTATTTTATTTTGTGCTGTATTTCAGGAGCTATTCAAAATGTGCAACGTCAAGCCTCTTCAACAAGCCCGACTGTATCACTAGACAGTCACGGTGCTGGTGTACCCATGAATGAGGACCAGCAACCTCTTGTGACAGACGAGGACCTACTTTCTGCTCCGACAGATGGAATCGACTGTTCTGCAGCTGTTGTCGAAGAAATACCTAGTGATGTACTAGGAGAAGAGACAAGTTCTGAAGTAACGCCAAATCTGCCAAACGAAGAAGTTGCGCTTCTTCATGCCAGGATCAAGGAACTGGAAAGTGATGTAGAAAGGGAGAGACAACGAAATGGGCTCCTGGACCTTGAGTTAAAGAAATCGCAACAGAGTAATGAAAACCTTGCTAAGAAGTGTCTTGAAATGTCCAACCAGACACTAAGTTTAGACAACGTTAGAAAAGGCAAGCACTTCCTGTATTACACAGGCCTAACAAGATACGAAGTGCTGCACAATCTGCATGACCTTGTTGTTGCAAGGTACCCCGAAATTTGCAAGGGGAACTACATGCGTGCCCAAGAAACTGAGGAACAGCTCCTCATGGTTCTTGTGAGGTTGAGGACGGGCATGCCCTGCAAGGAAATTGCTCGTAACTTTGGACTCTCCGAGTCAACTTTAAGCCGCACCTTCTCACGGTGGATTTTTATGTTGAAAGACACACTGAAAAGTATTGCGCGATTCCCGAAACTTCATAAGGTCCAACGCAACATGTCCGCATGTTTTCGAGAATTTCCCGATACGCGCATCGTGCTAGACACAACTGAAGTCAGAATCCAGAAGCCATCCGGTCTGGAAGCACAAAAGAAAACATTATGAGAAAATTAGCGCAAATACAAGGAAGGATGAACGTTAGGACAGGACAGGAAAGAAAACATTCTCTGGCTACAAGCACTCGAACACAATGAAATGTCTAATCGGTATAACACCAGACTGCTACGTTTCATTTGTTTCAAACCTGTACGGCGGAAGCACGAGTGACCGTGCCATCGTTGCAGAGAGTGAGGTACTCGACATGTTGGAGTGCGGCGACGCGGTGATGGTTGACAAGGGGTTTAAAGTGCATGACCTCCTGCCAGCAGGCGTCAAGCTGTATATTCCCCCATTCCGCATTGCTGGGGAAAAACAGATGAGCCGCAGCGACGTTGTCTGTACACGAAAGGTGGCACGGGCAAGGGTGCATGTGGAAAGGGCGATACGGCACATAAAAGAGTTCCACATCTTTGACTGCCCACTGCCATTAAACATGGCAGACATCGCAGACGAAATATTTATAACATGTGCATTGTTGTCTAACTTCAGGGGTCCTCTGATCCATGGAGCAGAGCAAGCAGGGTAGTTTTGTAACTTCAGCTGACCGTGACTGTATGTAGCGACTGTGACATGTATGCTTCTGTTTAAGCTAGGACAATAAACAAAAGGAGAGCAGTTTTGTAACTTCAGCTGACCGTGACTGCATGTAGTGACTGTGAAATACATGGTTCTGTATAAGTCAGAACAATAAAAAAATGATTTCACCGTCAACCTTGCTCGGACATCATGTATTTTAGACACAGTTCCAAAAGATAAAGCAGGCACTGTTAAGAATGCACAAAGTTTCCTATCTTCACTTCAGTTTCCTGATACACACTTTCAAGGTGTCCAGATCACTGTCACACACATAGAACCCATCCTTGTACTTCAGGTAGGGCACATAGCCTCTTCCAACCGTGTGCAGGAAGTTCAGCCGCTTGATGCAACGTGTGATCAGCTCGGGCACAAGGGCAAACCGGTAAAAGTACTGCAGGCCAGGTAGAATGTCCTTCTCCCAAAAACCCTTGTCAAAAGGCACACGTTCCACTGAAACGGACTGCCACAAAGGACCATTGTTAGTCCACACAACAAAATCGCACCACTGTGCTCCAACTACTGCCATTTGCCCCTGAACTTGGAAGTAGTAGGCGTGTGTCTCCTTCAGTACTACACTCCCATCCACAATGTGGCAGCAGAAGTCATCAGAGTTGCAGGCTTCCGCTGGTGTCATTCCTTTCTTTGAACGGGGACACTTCACCTCGAGGAGGCCCTGGTCACTGCCCTCGAACACAATGCGGTCTGGTGACACTGCAATATACGAATAGTCTTTGTGGACATGAAGGCCCGTCTCCTCAACAGCAATGTTTCTCCCCTGACATGCCATGAAAGTCACATACGCAGAGACAGCAACTGGCTCGTTGTCTATCCCGTACTGTCGCGGATCCCCGGGCTTCAGGCTATGTGCTCGTGGATACAAAATGTCTCGCAGAACTCCTTCGGGACAAACACAGTGTACGATGCGCAGAAACATTGATGCCCCAAGGCGGCCTATCTTTTCTCTTCTCCAGGTGGGATTGACTTGCTGACCCACTGTAGACTTGCACACTGTCTGTCTTTCCCCATCACTTGTAGGAGGAACAGACGCCACGTAGGACCTTGCGATATCCATGCACCTTCTCGAAAGCAGGTCTTCAGTGTCCCCTATAAGGCGGGGCTGATTTTGCTGAGGTGCCTCTACTGCGTAACGATTCCACAGCAACTTCTTCAGGATCTTGTCAGTGAGGAGCTTTTCCAACACTCCTGAACTTTGTGCAGCAGGGGCTCGGCGCTTGGGTTGCTTTGGCGTTGTCTTGTTAAGAACATGTTTTCGGAAAGTGATGTCCTTTAGTGCAGTGGGCATTTTTTTTTGGCTGGAACAGAAAAAAAGAGCTTAGCATGCTCTTTGCTCACTTTGATCGCATGCAGGTTTCACTTAAAACAGGCGAGTGTCCCTTCACTACATGCCATCTTATTTTACTGGGTTTCCAAAAGATTTCAGAAATATGTCCAGCTTGCCTACTTTGTGTATGGACAGCTTTTACTGTGAATAAAGGTATCCCTAACACTGCTGAACTTGCACAAGCTGTAGTTTCGTCGTCAAAACTTTCTGCTGTTACTAAGCTGGAAAGATTGTCAAGGTCGTGCCTGGGCTCTACATTCAGATATGCAGTACACCTCGAAGCTTGTGCCATGGTGCTTGGCTGCAAAGCCGAAAGATCTTTTTGTGCAAGAACGGGAAAAAAAATATACTATAATGTTTAGCCTCAAAGACAAACGATACTCTATCATAACATGTCATGACAATACCAGCGAGCTGGTACACTCAATCTGGGGCATAATGGTTATTACCCTTTGCTGGTGCAATCCACTGGCACTTGACATCTGTCGTCGAGGGCTGCTGGATGTCAGCAAGGGCAAACATCAGGCCAGCGACATGCTGGCATGTTCCACTCAACCTGCGCAGTTGAAATTTTGAGAGGATTAACAAACAGAACTCACAACAACATTTGAGCTTATTAGCATTATGACCATCAAAATCTAAATGGATTAGCATCTTCACAACACGGTAAAAAAACAGTAAGTGAGGAACAAAACATGCTTTACTTGTACTGAAATTTATACCGTTACACTGTCCGTCTCAAGAGGATTGGCGACCACCTTTATTTATTCATAAATGCTGGCATTAGGCACTGACACAGATGTGTGTATTTAAAAAAAAAGAAAAGAAACATAAAACAAAACGCCAATAACCGCGCGTATAGGGCAGAAATGTGGTCTGTGTACGCCGATCACGTCATGTTTTTGGCATGCATATGGCTAAGTTATAAATCAGAGCACTAAGCACGGAAATGGACTCACCCTGCCACACAGTCGCAATAAGCTTGAACAACTTCGGCGCTCGTTGATAGCGAAAGCAGCTGTTTGTAGTGGCCAGGCTTCATTGAAGGCGCGCACAAACTCCGCACAAGAGAGATAGTCGGGTCTGGATCGAAAATGTTCACCATTATCTTCTTCACGTGGCATTCTTCCTTGAAAGCCCAGCCTTTCTTCAGTCGCTTGCACGACTCGACACCGAAGTGACGCTCGACTGACTCCGTGTCGACGGTAAGAACCGATGTGGCATCGGCGGTCCATCCATCCTTGAAGGCGTAGAGGCGAACGAAGTCCTCCGTATGGTAGACGGTCGCCTTCGTCAACCCTCCAGGGTCGTCGTCGGCCATTCCGCAGAAGATATTGAGCCGAATCGATGAAAGAAATACACGTGCACAATGACGGAAGGCAGACGAACGCTACCCGAGAACGAAGGTTAACACAGCGAGAACTGAGGCGCGCTCGGACGGCGGAGCCCTCAGAATAGCTTGGAGCGATTCCCGCGAGGGCGCGCCACCATCGTGTCAAAACTCTGAAAAAGGCGAATTTGCAAATCAATCTGTATTTGGGCGAGGATATGACGCTTGTTGGGTGTTGTTAATGTGACTTGAAAAAGTGCGAACGGAGCGTGAAGTAAGGGTTCGGTGACAATGTGTGATAATATCGGTGAAACAGTGACAATCTGGCAATTCTTTGACAGTGATTTAGCAATGGCAGAGCCGCACGTTTCTTCAGTAGGGTGACGCTTGTAAAAGACGGATAGTCGTAGTATACGAATCTTACGGAACGATTTTGAATGGCTTTCGAGTCTTCGATAAGATAATTTTGGTATGGATCCCATATCGCTGCGGCATATTCTAGTTTGGGGCGGATGAGTATTGTATAGGCGAGCAGTTTCAGGTGAGGAGGAGCGAACTTTAAGGTATGTTGCAGATAACCAAGGGATTTATTTGCGGTTGAAATTATACTGTTTATATGGATGGACCATGAAATGTCTTTACTAAAGTGCACGCCTAGGTATTTGTAAGTACTAGTTGCTTGTAGGACAGAACTACCGATGGAGTAATTATAAGTAAATGGATTGGTGCGTTTATGAAAAGAGACGAGTATACATTTTGAAATATTTAAGGACATCTGCCATTTATTGCACCAATTTTCTATAACTGAAAGATCTGCCTGCAGTTTTACTTGGTTATCATGACTGTTAATTTTGGAATATAAGACAATCATTGGCAAAGAGGCAGATGTTATTAGATACACAGAGCGGCAAATGATTAATATATATTAAAAAGAGAAGAGGGTCAAGCACTGTGCCTTGAGGCTGGTGCTTGTGTTAGAGGGGGTGCTATTTACAAGGACAAACTGATTTCTGTTAGAAAGGAAGTTGTTAATCCAGGATAACACGAATGGGTCTAGGTTAAGCAGGGCAAGTTTAGACACCAGTCGGCGATGCGGGACTTTGTCGAACGCTTTTTTGAAATCGAGAAAAATTGTGTCTGTCTCTGTGTTATTGTCGAAATTAACATGTAGGTCGTGAAGGAACCCGGCTAGTTGTGTTTCACAAGATAAACCCCTACGGAAACCATGTTGTGAAGGGTGTATGAAGTTGTTACGCTCTAGGTGATTTATAATGTTTGCGAAAATTATGCGTGCCAAAATTTTTGATGGCACGCTTGTCAAAGATATGGGCCAGTAATTATATGGTGAAGACCTAGAACCGGATTTGGGGATTGGAATAATCTTACCTAACTTCCTCTGAGCCAGGACGTGGCCTGTTTCGAGTGATTGAGAAAACAGTAATGTGAGAATGATGCTGCTTATCACCTTTGTGTTTTCAGTATTTTGGAGTTGATGTTGTCTGGTCCAGCAGCTGATGAAAGCTTCATATTGTTAATCACATTGACTCTGCCGTTGTAGTTAACTATTATTGGAGACGTAGTTTCAGGAATCACTGTGTCGGTAGTAGCTGGAGGGGTCAGGCTGCGCTCTTGCGTAAAAACGGAGCAGAAAACGTTCAACTTATTAGCGCATTCACTGTTACTTAAGGGCTCATCGGAATTATCATGTAAGGTGATTGAAGTTACGGCTGAAGGTTTTACAGTTTTCCAAAACTTTTTGGGGTTATTCTTAAGCATACTGGGTAGGGTGGTTCCAAAAAAGCACTGCTTAGCTTTGCGAACTGCATTTGTAAAATGTTTTTCTGCTTCATAATGGGGAGGCGCGTAGAAGGTATGTTTTTTGTTTTGGCTAATCTAAATAAATACTTTTTTTTTGCTGTTCATTTTTTTAATTGCACTGTTAAACCATGGGGCAGATGGTTTGCTTTTAATGGTAATGGTTGGTATAAATTTATCTACTAGCTCGTTAAATTTTTTACAAAATAGGTACCAGTTTTCATCGATAGTGCGATAGTGAAAACCTCGCTCGTATGAAAGATAGAAGTTTTCGGGTTCTCTGTTTATGGCTTCGAAATTCCCGTGGTCATAAAGTTTGATTTGCTTGGTAATGGATTTCTCGTCCTGGAGACATAATTTGAAAGTAGCCAGAATTACTTTATGGTCGCTTAGTTTTTTAAGGTAATACAGGGATTGTAATTTGCTTGGGTTTGTCATGAGTATTAAGTCTAGTATGTTCGAAGTATGTGCAGTCTCTCTTGTTGCTTGCGTGATCACTTGATTGAGTTGGTAGTTTTGTATACAGTTTAAAAATTCATTACATTCTTTAGGGCTGACACGAGATACATCTGACCAATTTATGCGTGGATAGTTGAAGTCACCGCAGATAATAAATGGTGCTCTTGGGTACTTTTTATGCAA